CAGCCAATGACAAGTTAATAACTCACCCAGATACTGTATATAAGAACCCCTTGTCACCCCAATGCCCCTCCTGATCAGAGTCCCTATTCCTCAGCCATTTTTTTAAATCTCCTCATCTTCTGTCTCTCGATTTTTGGAGAAATCTCACCACTGAATATTCCTGCCCTGCCCCTCAATGTTCTACCACCCCTCCATTGTTACCCTTCAATTTTTATAAGGTGCCATTATGACACACAGTACTGTACATCAAATACTAAAGAGGGTAGAAACGTGTTTAGGGGCAGGAAGAGGGAACTTCCCGAAGGACCTAACAATCTAGGAGATATATCAGAGCTAAAAGGGAAACTTGAAGCGTATCTAAGAGGCGGTGGCTGCATTAGTTTTATTCTTCTTTCAGACTGTTTTCTCTTTTACTTTCATCTGCTGATTTGGCAAAAACACTTCCTGTCCTTGGGTGGCTAAACTCAGCTCTCCACTGTTAGAGATGGAGGCCGAGGCTTAGCTGCTGACTGGTGAGAAAAGTTAAAGTTTACATATCAGTAACTGTTCTGATTAGTCTTCCTGGGTTGCGTGACATTGGGGAGGGGGGTTATTGGAGTGCAGCTCGGGTTTGTCATTGAGATGAGATATTCGGCCACAGGAAAGGGGAAGTGTTGTACAAACAATGGGCAGTGATTTTCGGATTCAGATCTGTTCTCGGGTTCGGGCTCCAAGCTCAGATTGATTGGAAGGCAGTGAGGAGGAAACTGGCAGAGATCGGCTCACCTGGCCTCCTACGGTTTCGGCATTACTACTGAAAAATGACTTCATTCCTTTCCTCTTCCTCCATCCACCTCAATGTTTACCATGAATGGGCTATGCTCACCTGATTGCAATCTGCTACCTCATGAATATACTTCACCACCTCACCCAAATCCATACCCCATGCCTCAATCATCTATGTCAAATCCTCCCCTGACAACTCCTACCCCCAGTCCAATGTCTCGCTCTCCACCAGTCAACTGTATTTCAATTATTTCATCATTAACCAAAACTTGTATCAACAAACATTGAGTCTTCTCTTCCCACCTACTTACCTTATGTCTACCAACCTTCCCCGATTCACATCAATGCATTTATCCCAACTATAAGAACCCCACATGGCCCCAGTGTTCCCAGCCCACCAACTCACAGGAACACCCAACGACACCACAATCTCCCCCACACCCCAAATAGGTCCCTCTGCTGTCCTAATCCTCCCATCACTTCTACATTATATTCGTCTCCTAATGCTCAAATCATCTCACCCCATTGTACTCCCGCATCTCCCCCCATTATACTCCCGCATCTCCCCCCTTTGTACTCCCCCCATTGTACTCCCGCATCTCACCCCATTGTACTTCTGAACCTCATAACATTTTACCTGCTGTTATAATGCTGATCCCAATATCCCCTAACATGTCATTCAAAATTCTCAGTTTCCTTT